TGCTGGGAAGGTGACTCCGCACAGCCTCCCGGAAGCCTCTTCCCGGCCTGGCCCGGTCAGCAAGCAGCCAGGGAGCCAGGCGGCCTCGGGAAACGTGGGGCTCAGGACCCGGGCCTGGGCGTCTCCGAGCCTCTTACCGCGACCGCCCGCCGATGGCCACACTTGTGGGTGCAGACAGGTGCAGACGACGGGGTTCTGAATTAACTGGCAGCGTTTTGTCCGGTTAACGTACTGCATTAATTTATTTGCTCATCCTTATTCTAGTGGCAATACAGTTTTAGAATAACGTTCGTTTGCGTTGGCATTTTTTGTGTCTATTTCTTTACAAGAACTATATTTACATTTCTAAGTGTTCATGAGACACTTTGGTTTCCTTTTTTTTCCCCTTTGGTCCTAGGTGCGCTAATACAAATTTTCAAGCATGCAAAGGAAGTCTGATTATGTATTTTTCGTGTATTTCAGCCACCATCACAGGTTGAATGAATTACTCCAACTATTTATTAGCTATTTACTAGAGGTAGAGGGAAAAATACACTATGGCTGACGAAGTTTTCAGCACAACTTTGGCATATACGAAGAGTCCAAAAGTTACCAAAAGAACTACTTTCCAGGTAAAATACTTCAAAGCATTTGTATTTTGAATGATTCTACAGTGTGACCGCTGTATAAGGACCTGGGACTTGGTGATTCTACGAAGGGCCCTGTGGAAAGCTAGAGTAGTCTTATATTCCTTTTAAGGCTCTGCAGATAAGCCCTCGTGTTTGGGGTGTTTGGGCTTTGGTGTTACAAATCCTTCTTTGTGGGTTTAAGGCTACCAAAGTAGCCTCAGTACAAATTCTTATTAAATTAAAAGTTAAAGAGCAACTTAAAGCTGGTGTCTGGTGACACCTGCCCGTAGTACTAGCACTCTGGGAAGCTGAGGCAGGAGGATCACTCGTTTGAGTCCAGCCTGGGCAATTTAGTGTCTTAGCAAGAACCTGTCTCAAAATAAAACGACTGGGGGAGAGGGATGTCATTCACCCACTGTGCAGACCCTAGGTTCAGTACCAGTACACACACACACACACCTACACACATAAAAGCAACTCGAAATTTCTATTTTCATGTGAAAACCATTTTCTACTATAACAAAATAACATTTAAGTGTTTTCTGTTGATGTATTATTTTGAGCCCAGTCACTAAATTTCCATTGCCAATGAAGATAATGCAGTATGCTTACAAAGTAGTGGCCTTGGATTGGGAACATAGCTCAGTGGTAGACTTTGTACTTAGCATGCAGGGAGCCCTGGGTTCAATCCCCAGCACCCCCCTCAAAGAAGTACCAGTTTCTTCCGAAGCGTGAGTTTCCAATAAGCCACTTAGATTGTGCCCCACTCTTTTATTACTCTTTAGCTCTAGTCACAGCCTGCACATGACATACTGACCTGCCACCTGCTGCAGTGCAACTACGAGCCCTTGCAGAGGGGCCTGGTGCTGATGCTGTGCCTTATATTTGGTGTGTCGGCTGGGTGGCAGAGAGCAGGTGTGGGTGGTCGTTAGATAAATGAAAGTTTGCAAGCACTTATTCACCAAGTATTTTTTAAAGAATTAATTCTAAATATGAGGCCTCCATGTCCGAATGGGAACTAACTTGAGTTATGTCATTTCAGGATGAGCTGATAAGAGTAATTACAGCCCGCTCGGCCCGACAGAGGAGCTCGGAGTACTCAGACGACTTTGAGAGTGACGTTGGTATGTGGGAATGCCACGCCTGTAAACGTATTTCTAGTTCATTCCAGTCTTTATGGTTGTCATTTGTTTGTTTGTTTGTTTAGCTAATGTGATCTAAAAAAGTTTAGACTCTTGAAATACTTTTCCTGTTCATTTTTCAGTTTCCTTAGGTGATTTTTCTGATACCTCAGTAGATGAAAATTTAGCTAAGAAAAAAATGAATGATTTTCATATATCAGATGATGAGGAGGAGAATTCTCCACGACCATGTTTTTTGAAAAGAAAGAAATCAGACACTGACGTGAGCAGAGAGGAGCCGGAAGCCGCTGTCAGGAACAGTGAAGAAAGGGCGCCAGATGTCTGTGGAGACGTGGCTGCAAATTCCTTCTCCGAATCTCACAATAAATATCAAGAAGTTAAAGATGAGAGAATTAAAATAAAACCGAAACCCAGAATTCTTCCAATCAAAAGCACCTCTTCAGGTAATTTGTCAGATTATATAGTAGCATTTTTTCATAGAAATACCTTTGTATGGTAGCAAGTGCATATTTAAGAAAACAAGGAAAGGTTTGACTTCTCCAGCCTGCAGACCCGGGACAGCAGGGCCACGCAGACGCCTGCCATTTGCTGTGTCATTGTAAATTTGCTCTGGCGTCAGGAAGCCTGTGTAGCAGCAGCTGGCAGCACCTCCAGGCCCAGAGGCTGAAGCTGTGCTGCAGAGATAGAGCCGCAGTGGAAAGGAGCCTTTCTGACCTTTCATCCTGCAGATTAAAGCAGTCCTTTCCAGGGCCCAGGCGCTGGAGTACTTGCTCCTGAGCAACATATGGCCCTCAGACACCGAGCTGTTATTTCCATACCAGCATTTTGCCAGAACATGTTTCCAGCATTTGTGTAAGTGAAAGGAGAGAGTTTTGTTGTCGCGATGTTGTTTGTTGGCATTCCAGACTCTTTTTAAAAATAGTCTTTTATTACATGGGAAAATCTGCCAAAATTTAGTTTTCTCGGGTAAATTCCTTTGGGATCTGAGATTATAAGAACCCTCCACATGATTCTACTGAGCTCAAGGGGGAGAGGGCTGGAGGGGGACCAGGGCTCCCCCGGCCTCCCGCAGTCTCCAGGGTCACACCGGGTCACACAGTGTGTAAGGCTAAGGACTTGGTTTCCCATCTGCTTTCTTCCTGGTTTGGAAGGGAAATATTAGTTGGTGCTAACCTTAATAAAACTCCTTTTCCTTTATATTGTCAGTAAATACAGTGCTGGTAAAAGTTTTTTACTTCGCATGTTAGATATCAATGAAAACATCAGAGAGGGACTTTCAGGATGTGTTAAAGAACTGCTTTTTCTCAAACACAGTATCATTAAATTTGAAATTAGGTAAGCATCTAAGCACAGCAAAGAACACTGGAACAAAGTGTTACTCACTGGGAAAACCTTCACTGTACATTCGTTATATGTGACTTCAACAGGTAGGGTAGGTTTCCCTGTCCCCCCGAAGCAGGGATTAAACCTGCTCTTCCTGTCCTGCAGAGTTGTCTTGAGAATCTATTAAATGCATCTCCTTCACTATCACACACTACAAAGTGTGAGCACAGAACTGACTCACTAGCATGCACCTCTCACGTCGTGAGTAGAACTACAGCTGGAGAGCAGGGTAGAATTGTTTGCTTATTAAGAAAATCTGAGCATATAGCAGCTAAAAATGGATCTGAAACAGGTGGAACTATGCAAATAGAAATTTATGGTAGATAATTAGTCAAAAAATTTTACATATGTACCAAAAAACCCAAAAAGTTATGGTGAATTAAAATAAGTAAGAAAGTGCTATATATTTTAACCACAAGGTGGCAGCAATTTTCTAAATGCTCTACTTGGGCATCTAATGTATTCAGGGCAGGAAACATAAAAATCATCAGGTAGTCTTACACACTTAAATGTAAAACTGAACTTTTAAAACGTATGCAGACTTTTTCTGAGAATTTGGCAGTGCCTCTGGAAGAAGAATTTTTGTGCGAAGTGCAGAGAAGTCATTATTCCTCGACACTTCAGGATGCAGAATAAATGTAATGAACGTAGCATTTGTTGGGCATCTGAGTAAATGAATGCACGATTCACTCCTAGAAAGGAATGTGGTTGATGAGCTTACCCGCATCCTTCTCAAAGTTCTTCTTTTTCATGCAGTGAGATACTGCTAGGTAGCAAGTAACCTTTTGTAAAAATATTAGACCTGAATGTTTTTTCTGTTCCTACTTGTCTTTTATAAAAAGTTCAGTAACGAGATTCTCACTTTACAGAACAACTGTCAGAGGATGGTAGAATTGCAGCTGTGGAAACATTTCTTGTTCTTTTTTGTGGTTCAGCACTGGGGCTTGAACCCAGGCCTTCCCATATGCTGACTGTGGTCTCCCGGGCCTCACCCCAGCTGAAAACTTGCCCTGAAATTTGAATACCTGCGGGGAGGTCTCCCGGACCGGACCAGCAGAATGAGACCTGACTAGTCACACACCTCTCCCTCCCTCAGGCCAGAGCCGTCTTCCTGTTTACAGCAGCACTCGCCTCTCCTGCAATTGCATGCTGGGGAGCATTGCCCTTCCTGAGCCCTACTGTGCCCAGGCCTGGGGTTGCGGATGCAAACCAGGCTTACGGCAGGATCTCTTCATTTTGTAGAGGCAAAGTTTTGCTTTGTTTTACATTTTTAGAAATGTTTTGAAACTGTGACAGTTCGTAAAGTTAGAGAGATAACTTCAGATAAAACCAGTGCGTGCCGACTGCTTTCAGGGCAGCAGCATTATTTTAGACATTTTATAAGACACTGGGTCTTACAGAGAAGAGCTGCAGTTTCATCTGGGGCTGGGGGCCGAGGGTCACAGCCGCTGGGCGGCAGCAGTGATGCCTTCGAAGCCAGTAGGATCCAGGATCTTTTTTTATTTTTGATAAAATTCACCTTAAAATGTTTGTTTGTCTGTTTTTAGCAGAAAATAGCAGTCCTGAAACAGATGCACGTTTTAAGCCTTCACCTCGGCCAAGGAGCATGTTCAAAAAGCGTAGCCATGTGGAAGAGAAGGAAAAACTAGGCAAAGAGAAAGAAACTACCCTTGGTGACCACCTGGAGTTGGCGCCTTCCTTCCTGCCTGGGCTGAGTGTGAGACCCTTAGAAGCTGAGAAAGACGGACTCTCTGTAAGCCTTGACGTTGAGGTGGGCACTGCTGCTGAATTGCTGAACTGTGTTCTTGAATCCAGTCCTCTGTATCCCAGGGAAGGTTGCAAGACGTACCCAATTTCAACGGAAGTAAAATGTCAGAATTGCCTTGCTCTTCTGAGTCTATATCTTACCATCTTGGATTTTTATGTATGTGTTTTAGATTTATCCACTTTACAGCTAAGGAGAAAGTAGTCAGTGTCACCTTGCTCATTTGGTGCTGTTCCGTCCACAAATTTGCATCAGACATTCGTTGCATGCCTTCGTTTCCGAGGTGTGCCACAGTGGGGTGAAACGTGAGCCTCCAGGGTTTCATCAGGCACGTTTGTCTCCTGTCGTTGTGTGTCCACGGGAAGCAAACGTCCCCTCACGTTTCAGAAGGGAGACGTAGGGAAGAACGTCTTTCCCGCATAATCTGCTCAGATAGCTCAAGGAACAGAACTGCACGTTACCTGTCCTAGCTTCTTTGACTTTCTGCCTGTCACCTGTAGTATTGCTGTGTGGGGATTTGCTTCCCAGGAGGTGACACAGAAGGACAGAGGAGCTCCTTTGTACTCTGGCTTAATGAGCGATGCCTTCTAACGTGTACCTGCAGTGTTGCAAAGCACAACAGACCAGTGACTCAATCTTGTGCTGTAGCCCAGCTATACCAGTACGGCTGACAGTTTGATATTTGTCTGTCTGGCTCCTCCATGCTATTTTTTAATTTGTCCTAAAAACCAAAAGAAGAAACCAAGATGATTATTTTATATTTAAAATAATTATCTGGTCAGTTGAATGTTACATTAGTTTCCTGTCACTGCTACAGCCAGTTGGCACAAACTGGGAGCCCTAGTGCAACAGAAATGGATTCTCTTAGTTCTGGAAACTGGAAATGCTCTGTCAAGCCCCAGATCTGCAAGGCCATGTTCCCCCAAACTCTTCAGGGAGGGTCCCCATCACCTTCGAGGTTGCGGCAAGTCTTGGCACCCCAGGCTTGTGGCAGCACCCTGCAATCCATGCCTGCATCACCTCCTGACCTCCTTGTGTATTTCCTTTGTGCTTCTTTCTCTAAAAAAGAAATTTCAGATTTAGGATCCATCCTCATCCAAATGTCTGCATCTTAACAAATTACATCTGCCAATACTTTTCTCCAGATAAGGTGTGCCTGAATGTGGGGGACACTATTGAAATGGGAACAGATACCTAACCTTAAATACTATTTTCTAGCATGACAGAGATGGAATAAAAAACAGCTAATCTTCTAGACCTGCATCTAATAGTAAGGAAGTTTACTGTGCTTCTTCCCTTTGAGGCATATTTTTATTTGTGGTTTCATCGTATTTGTCATACTAGCATTCACATTTTTCGCTGTGCTCTGCTTTGTCTCTTAGCGTTAGGTCGTGAAGTGCTTCCGTGTTGCGGGGATCTGGAGACCCCATGCGCACAAGTATCTGCAGCATAGCCTAGGATGTACATCTATTATCTTAATGCTGGACACTGGTTCTAACCATCTAAATGTTCTGCGCTCTTCATTACACAGCCTGATGGGTCCTCTTTTACTCTGCTGCCTCTGGGATCTCCCGTGAGGTTTTTGTTCTTTCCTGGATGGAGAAGTTTTGGCTCTTCCTTGGACTGTTCCATTCTCCTCCCAGCTGTGCTCCATCCTGTTTATCTTTGTATAAACTCTCCTCTGACCCTGCACCTCCCCTTACTGCCTCACTATCTGCTAGTCAGCTTTCTGTCCCTGTATAACAGTACCTGCCATGATCGACTCAGAAGGAGGAAGGTTTATTTTGGCTCATGGTTTCAGAGATCTCAATCCATGTCCTTTTTCTTCGGGTCATTGGTGGCGCAGTCCATCCCGGAGGGTGTGGGGGAGAGGCCTGCTCACCTCATGTGGCCAGGAAGTGAGGAGAGACAGAAAGCAGGAAGCAAGGTCCCAGTAGCCCCTTCAAGGCCAGGGGCAAATGAGACCATGGGCTGGGACACGTTTAAGCCCCAAACCATAGCACAGTCCTGTGGCCATCGCAGCCAGCTGTGGGAAAGATGAGCTGCATTTCCTTCCTGCTGCATTCTCGCCTCTGACCTGGCCTCTCGGAGCTGGACAGGGTGCACGTGTGTATGAGTGGTGCACATGAATTAACCTGACCTGGTGTTCCTGGGATAAATTCTGCTTGATCAAGGCATAATATTGTATGTGGGATTTAATTTGTTAATATTTTGTCAAGATTTCTGGATATATATTGATGAAGGCTAGTGGTATATATATGTTTTTCCTGAAAATGTTATTATCGGACACCTGTATCAGATGAGTCAGGGACGGTGCTTTCTTCTTTACTTTCTAAAAGGTAAATATGACATTAAAGGTTCATCACATTTTCCTTAAAAGAGAAAAATCCTCTAAAATTATCCAGACTTCAAATTTCTTGATGGAGAGGTCTTTAGCATTAGATTTCATTTTTGAAATATTTTTGATATTCAGATTTTCTTTTCATCTCTTTGGTATTTGTGTCTAAGAAATTTGTCCCTTTCCTCTGAGAAGTTAGATTCATTAAACACTCTTTTTCCTGATATTCCCCTATGCTTTTGATGACCAGAGGATTATCACTACATTCCACTCTTTAATACATATAATTTATATTTTGTCTCTTTTATTAAATCCTGGTAGGTGAATTTACATTTTTTTGTCTGTTTTTATTAAATCTTGTTAGGTGCTGCTTAGTTTCTCAAACTTTTCAAAAATCTAACTTTGGCTTTGCTAATTTTCCTCTATTATTTGTTTCCAGTGTCACCGATTTCAGTGTTTATTATTTCTTTTTCTTTCTTTGGGTTTAATTTGCTTATCTTTAAGGTGAAAGTTTTCTCTTTGATTGTGAGTCTTTCACCCTCTATTAAAACCCTGAAAGCTATACTGTATACTTCCTTCTCTGGACAGGTACAAGGAACCCAAAGTTTCAGATGTCTTTAGTATTTATCACTTCTTTAATAACATTTTCTAATTTCTCACCTATTTCCTTGTTGACCAGTTGATTCTTTTGTGACAATTACCTCTAATTACAAATATTTGAGTCTTCTCTGGATACACATTTATTATCGATTATAAATTTTGTTATAGTCCAAATGATGTTAGCAGTTCAAGCTTGAAGACTCCTTTGCACCCCAGCCTAAGGGAACCTGTGAAAGTCCCCTTGCACAGGCACAGTGCACGTGTTCTTGGGGCGTGCAGATCATGTTTTCTGTTTCTCTTGGGCCGTCAGAGTAGTTGGTAGTGCCACACGCATCTGCGCTCTCCTTACTGATGTTTGTCTAATTGATTACCAGTTGCCAACTTAGAGATTCAGTTATGTCTGGAGATCTGTCTGTAATTCCTTTAGTTCTATCCGTCTTTTATAACTTTGTCACTAGGCACCTGCACACTTATTATCGTTATGCTAGGGTCCTTTAGCAGTGAAAAATGTCTACTTCTGTTAGTATGTCTTACTCTGCAGTTCGTTTTGTTTGATACTTCACCCGACTTATGACTAGCGTTTGCATATGTATATTTTTCTAAACTTTTCCTTTCAAACTACTTGTGTCTTTTCCTTTAAATGAATTTCATGTAATAAGAGTTTGTGTCCCCTTTAATCAAATCTGCTAATGTATGCTTTTTAACTCTAATGTTTAATCCTTTTATGATTCATTGATTAATTTGTACTGGTTCAATCCCGGGGAAGCTCTACTACTGAACTACTTCCCCAGATCATTTTTTAACTTTTTTATTTTGAGACACAGTCTTAATAACTGTCCTCAAACTTGCAATCTTCCTCCCTCAGCCTCCTGAATAGCTGAAATTATGGGCACGAGGCACTGTACCTAGCTAAGTTTTCTATTAATGTAAATACCTCATTATGTTTGTTTTATCTCCTTCGTCGTACTGTTGCTGTTATTCCATTCCTGCCCTTTTTTAGATTAATCATGTGTTTTTTAGTGTTTCATTTTTATTCTTCTACTCTTTTTTTAGCTATCACAGTTTGCATTACATTTTTAATACTTGTTCTGTGAGTTCCAACATAGTGTCTATAAATGATCACAGTGGGCAGTTAAACCTGTGTTATTTCACACTTAGCGTAGAAACTTTGCGACAGTTTAGCTACCCATAGTCCCTCATTCACTGTAATATCATCTTGTACTTTAGATCTGCTTTGATGTAATATGGCATCATCATTTCTCCTTAATGAGCTTTTTTAACTCTTTGTCTAAGATTACAGAATTAATAAAAATAGGTCTTTGAATATTTCTTAAAGACATATATGTACAGTTTCTGGGGATCCAAGTTATGATTTTGTATTATTTCCCTTTTAGTTTTATACACTGATTTATTTTCTTTTTATCTTATATTGTGAGTTTGTCAGTAATGGATTTTCTAAGTATTTTCTGATCTGTAAAAGTACTTAATTTCCTTCATTGTGGAAGGATTTTTTTAGCTGACTATCCTTTTGGATACAGTTCCTTCTTTAACCCTTACCTCTTTGTAGGTTTCCATTGTTTCTGGCTTCTCATCACTCCTGTCAAGAAGTTAGTAATCACACATTTTATTATTCTCATATATATATTTTTTCTGCCTGCTTTCAGAATTTTTTTCAACATTTGTTTATCTTTGAGTTGTGGCAATTTGGGTCCAAGATGCCCAGGTGTGGTTTCACCATAGTTCTGCTTAGGGTATGTGGAGCTCTCAGGATCTGTCAGCTGATGCCTTCCATGAACACGGGAAGTCTTTGCTTTTTCCTTTTGCTTTTCAATTTTTGATATCCTGTCTTCTTGCCTCTCCATTTGGGATTCTGATTATGCACACATTGAAAAGTTTTATATATGTCACTGATCACTGAGGTGTTATTCATGTTCTTTAATCTTTAGACTTTGCTTTTCAAGTTGAATAATTTATATTGCTGTCTTCAAGTTCATTGAATTTTCCTGATTTCTGATCTGCTATGAAGTGCATCCAGTGAGAGTTTATTTGTTATTATAGTATTAGATTCTAGAATTTCCACTGTTTTTTGTATTTTCTGTGTCTCTGACAGGATCCCTATTTAGCCAACATGCAGATATTTCCCTTATCATACCTGATCATATTTACAGGAAGTACTGTAAGGTCCTTATTCGCTGAGGACCACAACTGCCTCACCTATGGTGAATCCCTGTTGACTGCTCTTTGATAATGTTGTTTTCCATGACTGTGAGTCACCTTTTTCTGCTTCTTCACCTCCTTGGTGACATTTGATTGCATACAGGATATTACGAGTGACATGAGGACTCTAGGTTCTGTTACGTGCCTCTGAACGTGTTTTCTAATGAGCAGGCGCGTGGTCAGACACACATTTCCAACTCTTTCTCCTTTGTCATGCACGTCAACTTGAGTCTCTGCTTGTTTCTTTCGGTTTCTAGCTTCTGTGCTTTCACAGGATCCTCTCATTAGATTCTTCATTAGTTCTAAATAAACTAATGTTTCTTTGATCCCAGCATTTTAAGTCTATTTCCTATGCAGAGATTGCTCTGAAATAGAGATGACAGGTGAAGAACTAAATTAACTCTTTTAGGGACCCCACTTAATATCAAAGACTTCAAAGGCTCCAAAGCACAGCCTAGTAGCCTCCACTGGTTTTCCACTCTTGCTGTCTCACCAGCAGACTAATGCTAATGCACAATTCACAGTTACAAGGTAGTTTTAATAATGCTATTGCCCCATAAATCTTGTGAACTAATCTCACATGGTAAATTCATCTTTTAAAAACAGGATCCATTGTTTACAGAAAGCCTGTCATCGTCAACCCCTAAAGAAAGCCTAGGACAATGCTTTCCAGCAGGATCAGAGGACAAAGCAGCCATAAAAGGTGGTTATATCCAATTACTGTATCCTATCTTTGAATGCTAATTGCTTAGAACCTCATGTGTGAGAGAAATGACACTTTACACAGTTGCAGGGAAAATCTTTGCTTCAGTTTCAATCCCGACTATTCAGTACTGTTTGACTTTAGATGCAGAACTTAATCTGCCAACAGCTCAGTTTCCCCACTTTTAAAATGAACCTGTCTGAAAGGGGAGTTGTGAAAATGTAGGTGACACAGTCCATTTTAGCCACAGGACCAGGTCCAGGCTCAGGTGGAGTGGCCGTGTCAGGCGAATTGTGATTGCCTGTGTGTTGAACCGTAGTCTACCCAGGCAGCGCAACGTCTGGGGAAATCTCAATCCAGGCACAGCTGTGTGAGCGGAGTAACAAGCCGCTCCAACCCACTTACGGATTTTGTAAATACAGATAATAAGGCTATTCTGCCTCAAGGGCAGTTGTGAGAATTAAAGGAGTAGCACATGTGAAGCGCTTAGAAGAGCGCCCTAGTGAGCACGTAGTAAATGTGAGGTGTGAACGGTTCCTATTTCTTTTCTTCGTACGGCAATAACAAGAGCTAAAATGCGTAGTCGTTTCTAGGACGTGGCTGTATGACTGACATTTAGTAAGTGCTTACTATATAGTGTAATCTTTGTCATTTTACAGATGAGAAAAACTGCAGTGCAGAGATATTGGGAAACATGCCCAAGGCCAGTGACGAGGCCATAGCTTGAATATTTGGCCCCAGAATCTTTGTTCTTTTCACTGAATAAATTAACAGCACCAAACAGCCCAATAATGAATTGCACCTGGATGCCCTCCAAATGTGACTGTAACTGCAATAGTAAGATGACTTTAAGATTGCTGAGGCCGGGGATGTAGCTCAGCGGTTCGGTGGCCTGCCTCGCAAGCGCAAGGACCCGAGTTTGATCCCCAGTACCAAAAATACAAACAAACAAACAAAAAAGCAAAGCAGAAAAAAGATTGCTGACCCCCAAACAGGTTCCAGATCAGTGGCCATGACAGAAGCAGCAGCATTAAGATTCCTAGTGAAGATGCGTGTTTTGGCGAGGTGGTGGATCTCACAGAAATGTGATCACAGAGAGACATGGATTCCTTTCTGTTGGGCGTCCAAGTATAGCAGGTCCCTAGTAAAGGCAGCGGTCCTGTACAGGCCAGACCGAGCCATCTGCTCGCCAGTGCATGACTGACGGGTTAAGCACCAGCCGGTCCTCCCTCCCTCCCTCCCTTGGGCTTGAAGCAGCACAGCCCTGAGGCCGGTGACACCAACCCGACTGGCTTCCTGTACAGTGTGCAGTCCTATCGGTCCTCGGGCCTGGCTGCGTCTGTACCATCCTGCTAACCGCTGCAGGAGTGTGGAAGTGTGCGCTTTCTCCTTTACAGCCAATTTTTCCAGCTAAGAACATATATTCGATTTCCCTGAAAATAAGACCTAGCTGGAAAACAAGCCCTGACGTGATTTTTCAGGGTGCTGCTAGGATATGCTACTCCAAAATAAGCCCCAGTGAAGATCCTGAGCCCGACGGTCGTTCAGTATGTCTGCTGCAGCACACAAAAGACGTATGGGATCATAATATGAGAATACATAACGAAACGTAAATAATATTAACATTAATACTTAAATGAGAACATAAACTCTAATCAGTATCTGTAAATCCCAAGTGGGCGCCTCGGACAAAAGTAAACAGACGAGCTCGGAACTTACTGCCCAGGGCCCAGCCAGAGCGCAGGCTCAGCACACAGGTGGCATGCGCACCTAGGCCGGTGAATCTTCCTAATTCAGTGTGTCGTGCACTACCACGCACGTCCTTGATGCGCTTGTGTGAAGTGAAGCGTTGCCTGAATTTGGATGCCCCCTGTTCTTGGTCGCTTTTGTGGGGACCGTCATTCTTACATGTCGTCATTGTTACCGCTCCTCTCATAAATCTTCAATCGGCAATCGATTTAATGGCAGATTTAAAAGGAATAAATGAAAAAAATGAGGCATTCCCTGAAAATAAGCCCTGCTGTGTCTTTTACAGGTTAATGTAAGAGCCTTATTTTCAGGGAAATATGGTAGGCTTTAGTGTTGAACAAACACTGCTATCATAGTTATTTTACTTGAACCTCCACAAGCCCTTTGGCCTGTCATTTTGGAGTAGTTATTCCTTTTTAATTGTTAATATGTTTTGTTCAAATAATTAATTTTGCCAAATGCTTCATTAAATAGCCAGTTTTGCTCTCACAGATCTCATTTTTTTAAAAATTTTAATATGATTTTTTCATCATATTTTACTTTGCAAGAAAAAAGATTACACAGTCTTCATTTAAAGGAAAGTTAATGAACCCATTATCTGGTTTTATTAATTCAAAAGATTTCAGTGCTACTGTTCTTTCTCAAAACAGATCAGAATGGAGAATTCACTGAAAACCATGATTCCTTGAAATTAAATGAAAATGCGGAGAATGCAGTTTTGGTCGACTGTGTTACCCCTGAACTTGAGAAACCCACGGAAAGCGACCTGGCTGCTGCTGACCCTGAGGAAGAGAAGCGGAAAGGTGGAGCGAGGGCAGAGGAGGACATAACAGCTGCTCCCCTGCTGTCTAAATCCCAGAGGACCTCGGTGCCTGTCAGTGCAGTGGCACCTGCCCAGGTATTTCCATAAATTCACACCTTTCAAACTAAGCTTCAGCCCTGAGCTGGAACTTTAAAATGCTCTGTTTTCCATCACCCATGGAAGTCTCACCTTTCACCAGTGGAGGTGCACGGTCAAATAGTTCTTACTTGAGTCAGCAGAAAAATCATCAGTTCATAAAACCCAGTTTTACCTGAGGTGCATGATCAAAATGTACTTAAAATTTCTCAGAAATGTATGCCTGCAACAGTAGGTTTCTGTAGGTTTTCAGCTACCTGGACCACTTTCTGAGGTTTTGAGTTAGTGAAATTTTAATGTAATTTTAAAGCATTTTAATGAAAATCTTTTAGAAAAGATTGTCAGTGTCCGTAAATAGACAGTTATTCTTAGGAACAGATTTGTTGTATGCGGGACACTTGTCCAGCATTAGATTGTACCCAAGTACCGTGCTTTCAAAATTGGTGCTGTAGCATGTTTAGTCATTATTTCTCTTGAATGTAGTATTTGTCTCTTATACCTGCAGTTAGCTGGTAACTATCTGTTGGTACGGGAGGTTCACAGTGGTGGCTGAGATCCTGGTGATGGAATGGCACTTTCATAATAATTGAAATTGATGGAGAAAGTTCCGGGTGCAGCCCCCTTGCTCCCTTCTCTGGGAAAAGCCTTATGCCCGCATCCCCTCACCAGTCCTGCCCACCTCCTGCTCTGTGTGACGCGGAAGAGTTAGGCCCCTCTGTTGGTTTTCATCGTGAGAAGACCCGGTCCCCCACCTCCTCACGCCCCCCCTCCACGCCCCCTCAACTCACCTTGTGCTTGTCTCAGACGCACCCCCTCCCTTAGGAGGGAAGCAGTCCCTAGGCCTGCTCCGGGGACTCGCCACTGTCACTGTCCCTGTGTTTCTCCTTCATGAATCATGTTTACATGATCGTCAGTGACCCCTCTTTGAAATTTGGTGTCCTTGGTGGAATCTCATTCACTGATTTGTCCCCAGCGCCTGCTGTGCTTGACGCATACTAGACAGATAAAAGCCACTGACTTACAGACAGTGTAGGCTCCAAGCCTAACTGATCATTAATGGTGACTAATCTATCTGTGGAATTTTCTGTTTATTAGAAAGCAATCGAAGATAGAAACATGAAGAGTAAAAAGTCAACACCTAATAATAGAGCATCCAGTGCCTCTGCCAGGTAAAGTTGCCAGTGTGCTCACTTAGGGTTAGCATTCTTAGCAGAACTCATTTAAATTTAATTCCATAAAACAAACTGCATTTGGCATTACTCAGTTTACTCTTATCTCCATTGTATGAAACTCATTAAAACCCCTAACGCATGAAAAATTGTCCGTAGTCCTTAGGCCGCGCGGACGCGGGGGACTTCTAATGGGGTAAAACTGCGCAGCTTCACCCGTGCTGTGCAGACGAAGGTCGTAACTCACAAGGGCCGACCACAGCCTTCTGAATCTTGAGCTTTTATCCAGCAGAGCACAGCCAGCAGCTTGTTCTGCAGATGCATGGTAGGAAGTGCGTATTTGAAGCTCTCTGGGCACTTTTGTCCCTGTGTGTCGGCCCATTCTGCAGCTGTAGCAGGAAAGCAGCAGAGCCAGCAGGCAAGTGAGGGAGAGTCACTGCAGCCCGTCATTACGTTCACCAAAGCAAAGGGTACACTGGTTCTTCCCATCAGCCTCACAAACACAGGGTACCATTCTGTATAACTTTGTATGAGTGGTTTCCTGTAACAAAACGGTACAAGAAAACATTAGAAGAGTAATAAACCCACTTTATTCATCTTGCTCTTTTTATGTAATTTCAGATGTGGTCTGTACTTCCTTAAGAGGCTCTAATTAATAACACCTAAAATTAGTCACTTTAAAGGTCTATAACTTAAAGCTATACAGTTTACATTATAGTAAGTAGGACTTTAATGTAGTAAGAAAGACTTTTTACCTACATCACTTTCAAAGTCATTGTAATTTATTAAATGAAGTTATAATGTAGTTCTCAAGGATGATAGCTGCATATTCTAACAAGTTAAAGTACTCTATCTTGATTTATTTGGAACTCCTCAGATTAATGACTTCTGAGTTTGTGAGGAAATCCGGTTCTGCAGGGAGGACTCCGTGGCCCTCTGCCTCTTCCCACTGCTTAGGGACTTTGAAAGTCTCAGACCAGAAGCCTTCACAGAAACAGAACCTGGAGCCTGACTCTGCGGATCACATCAGGGCAGCTGTTTACCAGGTAAAAGGGAAACAGGGACCACTTGCTCAAGGCTACCTCCTTATCAGAGAATAGGTGACTGTCAGGAGTGGCAGTTTAATCCTTAATTGTATCGGGAAAGATTTCCCCTCACAATGCGTGAACAACGCAGAGCTGTTCTACTAAAGTTTTTGCTTCCACACTTTAACTGATCACAGTTGCTTTTGAGGAAAGAAAACATGCTGTTACAGTTTATAGAAATACAGCAGAAACCAAAGCCCTGTGCAGTCTATGTGCATTTATCCCCTTTGTCCTTAAAGTTTGTGTTATTTAGGGGCAAAAAGGGTGTTTGAAAATTTTCTTTCCTGTGATCCTGCTAGACTTACTCAGAAGGCTTTCCTAATTTTTCATAGTTCCAATAAAAGTCTTCTTTGTAGTGTTCATTATACAAAAAAATACATTTTGGAAAAATGCCCATGGGCACTTGAGAGAGAAAAGCCAACATGGTTATAGCCTTCACACTCGATGTTTGATGTTTATATTCTCACCGCTGCAGAGGCTCATATACGTATGATCATACGCATAGTGTTTTCTTAGGTTTTATGGATCTAGATTTATCAGATATGTGTCAGCAAAAGAAAAAATGACACTAGTTTGTAAAAAATTTATGAATTTTATGTTTTTCTTCTGAAAGTTTTAATCAACTACTTCATAAATAAATGAGAATTCTACTTCATTTGAACAGTTTTGAATATCATATAACCTTTTTCCTATTCTCACAGGAGTGGTTGGAAAAGAAAAATGTATATTTACACAATAAGAACAGAATAAAAAGGATTGAAAGTGAAAACTTAAGAATCCAAAATGAACAGGTATGGTGAAATAAGGAAGTGAATTTCTGAATATTTAACCTTTTTAAATCAGTTGTTTTTAAAATGGTGAGCTAACTTGTATGTAAAAGACTTAATTTTTAAATTCTTTATAATAGTTTATGTATTGCATATTTTGATTTGACATAACTTTTTCGTGCAAAAAGAGACACAGAAGTTTTTATTTTATCTTCATGTGTACTGGTGAATTACGAATTTATTGCTTGTGACCACCTAACTCACTTCACTTCTAAAAGTTGACTTCAGCTAGAAGCTGGCCTAGAACATAAAGGGTCCTCAGTCATTGTCTTCGGTTTTCCTCCTTTCCGCTTTGAGTCCTAATGTGTCTGCCAGTCCTGCCTACACCTGAGCTTCTGAGCTGCCTCCCTGCCCTGTCTCCCTCTTCTCCTTCTCCCTCAACCTCCTCAGGTCTGCTCCCTTCTAAAGCAAATGCTTACTGTGCTATTCAGCACAAAAAGGCTTTAGAAGGAACGTCTCAGAGTTGCCAGACTGTAGCCTGTCCTGCACTGTCCGTCTGCCGGTTCTGCCATGATGGACCCCCCATTCCCAGCCCTTCTCACCTGGTCCAAGGCTGTGCCGTGCTGCGGGTAGGCGGGGCTTTTACTTCTGAGTACTGAGCCCTTGTGATGCAGTGGTGTCTCTATAATGTTAAGCGATATTTGCAGCAAATATTAGATGTTGTAACATTAGATTGAAGTTAAGTAAAATATCATACATGATGCAGAGTCACCTACATATTTTCCAGTCTAGCACAGATTTTCAACCTTTTTTTTTTGTACCGGGGATTGAACTCAGGTCCTTGCGCTTGCGAGGCAGGCAGCAGAGCCACTGAGCTAAATCTCCAGCCCTTTTTTTTTTTCTTTTTTTTTAGTATTTATTTGTGAAGTAAGAACTTTTTGTATCAACATTATTCAAAAGTGGGGTTCAAACAAAAGATTTATTCCTTACTGTTTGACTTGACCAATTCAATGACAACTTTATAATTGTATAACTTTTAAAATTTTTCTCAACTTTTACAGTACCACTCAGACTACTGGAGTTTATTTTGGTAACATTTTTAGTGGAACTTTAAAAATAATCTCATTCTTCTTGTGAATAATAGGCCAATACCGGATAAACACTATTGGAAAAGGTCACTTAAAATGCAGTGAATAATTTGGATAACATTTTTTAATAAATTAACTCATTCAAATCAATCTAAATAAATTTTCTACCTTAAAACTTAAGTTCTATGTATAATGAATATCAAGGGATTCACAATAAATATCTTTGATATCCATATCTGTTTTTCTGCCTGCTTACGCATGCATATTTATCTGCCTATTATTTTTTCCAAAATAGAAAAAAGCTGCTAAGAGAGAAGAAGCAATAGCATCATTTGAGGCCTGGAAAGCTATGAAAGAAAAGGAAGCAAAGAAACTAGCTGCCAAAAAGAGGCTTGAGGAAAAAAACAAGAGAAAAGCTGAAGAAGAAGAGAACGCAGCAAGGAAAGGAGAGGCACTGCAAGTACGCAAGGGTTCCTGGCTCTCAGTTGCATTTAGACAGATGAGACCAAAATGACGAGCCCTAGTTTTACTCACTTTATAATACTCATAGTAAGTAAAAAAAATTATTATGAACTTTTCCAGGCATTTGAAAAATGGAAAGAGAAGAAGTTGGAATATCTTAAAGAGAAAAATAAAAAGGAGAAAGAATATGAAAGAGCAAAGAAACGGAAAGAAGAAGAAACTGTTGCTGAGAAAAAGAAAGAAAACTTAACCGCTGTTGAAAAATGGTAATCCAAATTAACAAGCATTTGATAGATGTGAAATTGACAGCATATCAGGCTTTTCTAAATTCATTTGAGATTTAATGATGCCCCAGTTTTATACTGCCAAAGCTGTATGAGGAAAGCTTTGTTACATAGTCTCCTTTCAATTTCAAGTGTTTTATACTGTTCTACATAGGAATGAAAAAAAGGAAGCTTTATTTAAGCAAAGGGGAAAAGAGAAAATAAATGAGAGAAGAATGGAAGAACTGAAAAGAGCTGAGAAAAATGATAAAGATAAACAAGCCGTCGATCAGTATGAAAAGTGGCTGGTATGTGTTGTTGTTAATGCTCTTGTGTTTTTATTCGACTTTTTCCTTCCTTTTCTGCCCCTAATTCAGTTCTTTTTGCCCCATACCTACTGTTTCTCCCAGAAGCTGCCTGTTAAATTTATTCCTTCCCCTTGCATGTTTTGTATTTTCTTTGATTTACTAATTCTATTAATGTGCCTGTTCCCCCCGGCACCCAAGATTAAATTTCACTTAAAATATTCTTCCTTGCCTTTCTCCCCACCCTTGAATCACGGCCCCTCCCTCCTGTTACTCCTTTTCTTACATCTGCCCTCTTAGGCAGAAGGCCAAGTGTACTAATGAGTATACTGGGTTATTTTAGGTGAACTTGACATGACTCACAGGAACATTGAATTTAATGGTGAGAAACTTATTCCATTTTTAAATTTGTTTTGTATTTCTCATGACCGCAAGATAAAGGACTTATTATAGGTGTTTCTTAATGAAAGAGCAGGTTTGAGGTTTGAATGTAAAAATATCCAGCTGGACTCTACCATATACAAATGTGGGATTGAACAATAGGGTAACTGTTCAAAGTTTTTAACAAATAAATGACAGTAAAAGGAACATAGCCATGAATCCCCCTCAGAGGTCCCCCCGCACCGTGAATGTGCTTCTCTCACTCTTCTTGCTGTTTCTGAAGCAGTTCTGCAAGTGTTTCCTGAGTGTCTTCAGTTGTACCTCTGTCCCGTTTTGATTCTAAATGTTTACCTTCGTGATCGCTGGGACTCTGGGAAAGAGCCAGCAGTTTCACATTTGTGCCAGATTTGTACGTTTTTATGAGCCTGACTTCATTGGATGACACTGTGCAGCTGTTACTGTACTTTTTAATCATATCTCATAAAAACCACAAAATGAGGACCTCTAGAACTGCTGCAGAAAGTGGAAAGGGGATAAGAGTGTTTGAAGCAAAGTGGAGTATTTTGAAGGAGATTAATCAGTGTGTCTTTTACATACATTTTTTTAAACATTCACTGTCTACTTCTAATGCATCTTGTATACATACGTTTGGTTTCAATATATTTATAGAACATACATTTTGGTGATGTCAACTAAGATACAGTTCTACTGTAAAGTATCAATACATATTTATTAATTTTTTGCATACCATTTGGAAGTTCTGTCTTGTTATCTGTCGGTTTGAAAGTTCTCTGGGGGACAGGGGCAGTATCTGTGTGTTTGGGTTTTATGGTCACTCTCTTCATGGACCGCATGGGCTCAGTGCCCAGCAGTTAGCAGCCATACAGAAATAAGGCACCAGGGCACCATCGGGACAGTAGGCCACTAGGACGCCTTGAGGCTGGTCAGTGTAAGGATGTGAGGGCGGTGAGGTGACCCAGGTCAGCGGAGGCATGCAGCTCTACAACTGGGGTTTATGTGACATTTGGACATAAAATCGCTTCAGAGCATTGCCTTACAGCAGAATAAACACCAAAAGCATTAATGTGGAAAATACGCAATGCTGAACAGTAGACAAATCCAAAGAGGATAGTTCACTGTTTACCAGATCTCTTAGGAATAAGAATCTTGGGAATACAAAATCATTAAGAATGAACAGGACAGTTGTCCAGTCTGCACATCGGAACAGAATGACAGTGGGCACCCACAGGAGGGTGAGCCCCGGCACTGCCTCAGAACCACCTTTGGCGTCGCCCAGCAAAGTCGAATTTGTGTAGCTTACAAAGCAGCAATTTTGCTCTCCTGCATACATGCTGAGGAAAAACCTAAGTCATACCCAAGGGGGCAGACGAGGATGTGCATAGAGCATTATGTTTGAGTGGAAAAGAGTAGGAACCGCTGATGTGCATGGACTGGAATTCTGCGCTGGAGGGAGAGCCGTGCGTCCTGTACCTAGGTCTCGCCAACTCGAGCGAGGCGGAACGTTTCCACGCAGACGTGCAGCTCCTTTGGGTGGAAATTCCGAATCCCTCAGAATCACACTGCTCTCGTGTGCGTAGGAGTCAGTATATGAGGAAGGGGACGCCCTGCATTGTTGATGAGGCTCAAGGTCAGAGTGAAGGTGAAGAGGGGAAAGATGCGGGCAGGGGTGGGCGCCCCTCGGAAACGGCTGCTTGTGGTGCTCTCTCAGGGCAAATCGTGGAGCTCGTGTTTTAATTCTGTTGGCCTTTAAACAGTTTTCCATGGTTGACCCATTTCCAAGTACATATTTCACAAAAGCTAAGAACTAAAAAGGGTAAAATGTTTGAAGTAAAGATATTTCTTGAAAGTACAAAAATTGCTGAAAATTAAAAATACTGATATTTGGTTAAACAGGCCAAATAATTCAGTGGAAAGCGTACAAAAGGCCTAAAGAAATGTTTGAAATTTTTCTAAAGCTCAATGATAAGCAAAGAAATACTAAGCTGAATTTTCAACTACTTATAAACCATTCGGCATGTCTTGTTGGCACAGAAGATTCAAAAGGTCACTTAGTAACTTACTTCAGAGAAGCTGAAGGTCTCAGAGTCACCTTCCAATAATTATTATCTTTGTATCACATGGCTTTTTGTCCTATTTTAATTTTTAATATTTAAAAAATGAGGTGACCTTTGTACCAATTGATAATGTGCATATAAATTAGCAACATCGCTTGTTTGTATTTCTTCATAAACAACTAAAGTAGGAAATGATATATAAATACAATGGACTTTTTTGTCCTCAGCAAGTAACCTCATTTAAAAATGATGTTCACTAGTTGTATGTACGTTTATAGCTTTCTGCTTTTTCTTTAGGAGAAGAAAGAAAGGCAGGAAAGAATCCAACGAAAACAGAAGAAACGGCATGTCTTTCTTGAAAGTGAGGACCTTCCTCCCTGGAGCCCTCCAAGAACTGTGGTTTCAAAAATGTTTTGATAATTTCAGTCCTTAAATTATTTACCCAGCAACCAATTTTAGCCATGGGTTTAAAAGCCATTCATTCAGTCCTTTGTAGTTATAAGATTCTATTTTAACTAAACACGAGGCACTTCCACTGACAATGGAAAAGATATTTTGGAGTTTGGTCGCTGAAAGTATTTTTTCAACTGTAGATAAACTGCCTAAATGAAAAGCTAGTATCAGATTGCTCCTGCCTTCAGAATGAATAAAGGTTTGTCATGCCCAGGTGACATTCCAAGTGATCGCCTTCACTAAACTCTGCGTGTTATTTAAGTATGCTGACTCCCAGGAATAAAAGGGACCTCATCCAGGTATGATAACCCCAGAAATGATTGGGTTCGTGGGTGGCTGTACGTCTGGATTCGGGGTTTAAAGGAGTGAGTGTCCCTGGGCAGCATGTTCCTCAAGCTCTCTTCTAAAACTACTCTAAGAAGTTGCATCTGCACTGTTCAAGTTAAAAACGTGGACACTGAGGCGAGAGTTCAGTAGAACTATGAGTTGCAAGGCATTTGATTTAAGAATGTTGCCTTATGTTTTAATAGGAGTGCACTTTATCTGCTCAAGGCTTAAATGACAATCACAGTCACTTTGTAATTACCTCACCTCTGGAATTTTTCTTTCTCGATTCATCTCACCTTGTTTACTACTTCAGTGATACCAAAAGACATCAGTTTCATGGCAGTGATGCACATGTTGGTTACGGAGATTCTGCAATGACCAAGGTCACGGTCATTATCTCATTTTCTACTCTGAAGCGATAGCGTGATGAGAGTGTTGCTCTTCTTCACTGATCCAGAGCTGTATCAATGTAGAAGTCAGCTGAATGGGGAGGTAAATCTGTAGAAGATATCCGAAGAACCTTTATTTATTTACTTGATATCTGCACATTCTTGTATTAACTGGACCTGGTCATTTATTTTAAGACAAACCAATTGTCTGCTCTCAGAGTTGAAATACTGCTTTAGTTAACTGTGCAATGTGGAGACGGTGGATGAAAATGATACAGTGACTGTTTATCCAATATCTTTACGAATTATAACCCTTCAGGTTAGGCGTTGCAGATAGAAACACCAAGTCCAGGAAAACCAGAAAATCTGCCATACAAGCAGTGTGTGACTGCATCCAAACCAGTTCTCACTGATGGACTGAGTGAGTGCTCGTTCTGGAGCCTGTCGGCCCCTGCATTAGTCAGCTTTGCACACACTTCAACTCTCAGTCTAAAATCCTGTGTTGCTATCCATAGATATCCGTCCCGGAAGAAGTAACTGCCAGTCATTAGAGGCAGTGGACCTCACTAAATCTGTGCGCTGAAATGAGGATTTGAAAAATTTTGAGAAGTTGGATATCTTGCCTCTAGTATTAGGGTGCAGAGAACTCAGCACTTGATGCCATGTAGGCTTCGAGATTGCAAACAATTGGAGGACACACTGAGCATCAGCCTTTTGCTGCAGTGTATTGCAAGCTAAGATGTCCCGGATTGCTTTGTAAGATTATATCATGGAAATAAGTATTTCATAGATAAAACTAAGAAGCCTCTTTATGCTGCCAACGAGGAGAATACTTCCTGCAGTTGCAGTGAGTCCAGCAGTAGGACTCATCAGCATGAGAGACAGGAGCTTTCTCATTGTCCCACAACCCCGACAGTTCCAACAGAGGGCCTCCCAGCAGAGCTTGTGAAGTGTTTCTTTTGTTGAGTTAGATATTCAGAGCTAAAAATATATTTGCAAGTCCCAGAGAAGTAAAAGGAGAAACAGGAAGAGATACAGTGCTTTGGGGAAGAAGGACCATAAATGTGTTGGCATAGATTTCACATTATTTACCGAAACTTCCTGATCATTGTCTCTACATGCTTGTACTGAATGGCTTATTATTACTTATTAAATTGTGAGAATTGCACAGGATTAATTAATATGTGTAGCACTGTGACCCAACATAATGAGCACATAATACTCATTGCTGTTGTCTTCTCCTGCCTGGAGCCCTCCGTTCCCCTCTCTGTGACCGAGATGACTGTCACAGGCAGGGGTGGCGGCGCGGATTTGGCTCTGCGGTCCAGTGTAGGCTGCACTATTCGAAAGAGAACAGAGCGCTGCCTTGTACTGGGCCCTAAAAGAAACTAAATACTGATTCCTGAGGGTTGCCTCTGAGGCAAGATGAAACAGAAGTGAAGGTGTTCACAGAGACAGCAAGTCATCACCCTCCAACGTGGGTGGGGATTTTTGTCGTCGTAATAGTGCACGCTTCCTGTTTACAGCAGCTTGCGCTCAACGTGTACTGAAATTGTCTGGCTGAATGAATCTCCATCTTCTGTAGCAGGAATAGGCTGAGCGGGGAGGTGGCCAACAGCCCAGTACTGCACTGTTTGTTACCTTCTAAAATCCAAAATCTGAAATCCAAAGGGGAGAATCAAGCCTGATAATATTCTCATGAATGTATTTATCTATTTAAGGACAGTGGTTTTCTCATATTTCCTTAGATGGTGTAAAATATCAGTGTAAATATCTTCTCTCAAGTATTAATTTATAATATGAAGTGACGTTTAATTAAAATAAAGAACAGTACAATCCTGTTATCGTAGTTTTGTAAATTACACTGAGCATTTCAATGCTGAGATTTGAAAGAAAGTATGAATTTTACAAATATTTTTAAAGTTGCTGAAAATTTCCTTTGAAGCATGAATTTAAATATTAATATAAATGTAGTTGAGGACCTCTCATATGATCCATATGCCCCCTTAGTACCAAACATAATGCCTACCAGGCTAGACTGTTAAGCATTGCTTATATTGAATTAGGTGTCCAGAGATAAAAAGATATTTTATCAACACATAGAAACCTTTACATGAAATTAAAGTTATAACCAAGAAAAGTGTAATGTTACATAAATAAAAAGAACCAGTATAGCACTTTAGATCAGAAAGAAGTTAAGGTTTTCTTAAAATAACAACTGTTCATGAAATAACAATATTCCTGAGATTTGCATTTGCATCACACTTTGAAAATCTTAGCTCGTTTTTGCTTTCAACTTTATCAAAACCAACATTACTGTCAAAGCAGGATGGGACTATTAGGCATCCAAAGTAACACATGCCTTAGTGTGATCGAACTGCACATCTGAATGGGGTTTTGACGATTTAATAAATCTGGTCCAAACTCTGTTTCTAAATTGAATAAACCAATTCTGCACAACTTTGACTGCTCGTACCAAGTGCTCAGTTGTACTCTTGCTGTTGTTCTCCCAGTGTTGTAAACTACTAACCTGGCAAACTTCTACACTGGCTTTGGCTCGCTTCTGCTCTCTCATTGTCAGCTCAGAGTGTGGTGGTTCTCAGGGCTCCTCTTTTCCCTCCGTTGCTCCCCCTAGATCAAAGCTGTGTAGACACTGACACTGCTATTTAAAATGTAGTAAAGAGTGAAATCTCTTACATCTTGGCTGAGAAACAATAAAGAAAAGGATGTTCACAAAATGGGAGGGAGCACTTTAGCCAAAATCATCCCCCAAATAAACTAGGACAAGAAACTTGTATTCCCCTGATTGAATCTTGGTTCAGATTTTAATAGTGCTATATTAAAAGGTGTTTAAATCCATATCCTTCCACTCTACACAAAACATATATTACCAATTTTCCAAATTACACTGGCCCACAGAATAATAAAATGTATAAACACTAAACTGAAGGGTTCTCTGAGTTGTTTTATTTTAAATGTCATGTGATCATATGATTTTGGAATATGTATGCTACATGTACTTGTATGATGTTAATTTAGGTAGAAAAGTTTCTTGGTATTAAATTTATAATGTTTTAGAAATTAATGAGGAAAATGTATTTAATGTCTACTTTTAGATAACACATTTTCAAGTAATAATTTATTAAAGTCAACTATTCAAGATTTATTTTACTGAGTGATACTGTTTGTGGACTATGTGCCAAAATCTCTTTTCATAGTGTTAAGAAATGTGTGGATTTTCTTTATGCACTAAAGATAAAAATAAATCATAATGTGTTGTTATACTTTTAATTAAAAATTAAAGGGTAAAACACTAATTTTTATCTGGAATTTGGATATAAACCTGATTTTTTACTACATAAATTATAAAGATAATTATAAATAATCTGAAAATGACAATGAACAACCCATGCTCCCATCTCCCAGAGATAATTATAATTCACCTGTTTGTTTTTTTTATTTTTCCCATTTGTACTTTGTAGTGTGCTTTTCTTTGTAGCTGAAATTAAGATGTGAGTGAAGAGAGAATTCCATTTCTCCCTGTGTCTTTATCTCCTTTTTCCTGTATTTCTTGTGCTATGTATATATAATTGTTCTAGTTATTTCCTTGTTGCTGGGACAAAATACCCTACACCCATAAGTTAAAGGAGGAAAAGTTTATTTTGGCCCACAGTTTGTAGAGGTTTCATTCCACAGTTGGCTGGCTCCAAGGCAGGGCAGTGATGGACACAGGGATGTCACAGAGGAGAAATAGTCCATGGCAGGGTAGTAGGAGGTGAGAAGTAGCAGCCTCTCTTTCTTTCTGCTGTTCCATCCAGGCTACAAGCCTGTTGGTTGGTGCCACCCACACCCAGGGTGGGGCTTCCCATTATCCACACCCAGAATTGTGCTAAACCGATGACACACCTTTAATCCACATTCACATACCCTAGATCCAGTCACCTTTGAACAGCCTTACCTATGAGGATGTGAGGCTTTGGAGGGACATCTACATAGAAGCTATTTCTTTGCAATAAAAATAAAATTTAAACTGCATATTTGATAACCAATCTTTTCCACTCAACAATATATAAACATATTTGCTTTTTTTTTTTTTTAAGAGATCTCACTACGTCATTGAGTTGCCCCGACTGGTCTAGAACTTGCAGTCCTCCTGCCTCAGACTCCTAGAGTGCTGATATTACAGATGTACGTCATCCATCACACCTGGCTTTCATTTTGAAACTAATTTATTTAGCCTATTACTGGATAATTTGCTCCTACAAGTGCCTATTGTAGTAAATAATAATATAACTATATAGTCATTAACCTTGTAGCCAGTATTATCCTTAATAGGAATGGTGAATTTCATTTATAAGGAAGAATCTATACTATATAAAAATGTATTCAAACATCTTTTGTACTAGAGAATCAGAACACTCCTCAGGCTGTGTACCAAAGGCTTGAGAGAATCACTCAGGAGATTTTGAGCATAGGAGAACCCTTGCCACGATACCTGTGTTAGGAAAAAGGCATCGTAGGCCGGGGGTAGCTCTGCCCTCAAGCACCTGCCCAGCATGTGGGAACCCTGGGTTCCTCCCCAGCACTGCAGAGAAGGAAAACTAATGCCCATGGGGTCATTTTTTGTAAGGTCGTAGAAGTACTAGAGATTACAAAATTCAGAAAACTGAAAGCCTTTTTGTTCTTTTAGAACTGTAAGACATTGGATGGGAGTTGCCGTTTAATTCATACAGCATTTCACTTTTTTTTTTTTTTTGTACCCAGGATCAAACTCAGGACCCCATGCTTGCCAGGCAGGTGATATGTTGCTGAGCTAAAACCCAGGCCCCCCAAAATTTCATTTTTTACAATATGAAAAGTTTTCAATATGGCAGAACAGCTTGGCAAATGTGCCCAACACTATGATGCTTAAAATAGTTCACATGGTAAATTATTTGCATTTTCTCACAGTTTTAAAAATATGCCCTAAATAATAATAAAAAAATATTACTTTTCATACATGGGAGACACACACAGAAATCTTGCCCTTAGCTATAGAATATCTTTTGCTCTGGACCAACTTGCTCCTCTCGGCGACTTCCCTGATCCAGCGACAGTCGTGAGGAGCATGTTACCTACTCATGGGCTAAAAGCCAGGCTGAAAGCTGAGAATGAGAGAAATAATTCAACCAAACCTAATAACCCTTCCTCTTCCATGGTCTTTTAGATATTCTTGCCAACTTAATTTTTGAGATTAGCTTTAGCATTCTTTTTAAGCTTTAAAACCAAATCATATTATGACTAGGGAGAACTGCAGTAACTAAGCACAATAATAAAATCTTTTGGTTTGAAATAGATTTGATGAAACCAGTCCTTAGGCTGAGGTTCACTCACATTCAGTTAGATATATGTTAGCAACCCAGTGGTGATCTTAGGACCCCCTTGGAGAAAAGTCTTCTGTGACCCCACCCCACACACCTAAATAAGTTATTCTTCTCTGCACTGCTCCTTCATCCTCAATAACTGCTCTTAAAGACCTTGTCTTAATTTAAATAAGGACTTCCTAAGAGTAGAAACAGCATTTTGTAATCTTAATATTTCTATTTACTGGTGGCCTCCATGTAGATACTCCTTGGATGACAAAATAACGAGCTAAAGTAGAATATAAGATAGTTTGTATTGCACACATATTTATATAAATAAGGCCTCTATTATTTGATAAAATTCTAATAGTTTAGTTTACATATTAAAATGCTATTGCAAATTATGGTATTATGCTATTACAGTGAAATGTTAAATACATCATTTTTTCAGTTCCAACAAAAATCAAAAATTTTTAAATGCAAAATAAATGACAAGAACTTCACAAAAACATGGAAATTGAATAATACTCTACTGAACAAGCATTGAGTCACAGAGGATATTAAAGAAGAAATTAGACATTTTTTATAAATAAATGATAATGCCAATACAGTATGCAGGAATCTATAGGACACAAAAAAGCAGTTCTATGAGGGAAATTTATAGCAGTGAACGCCCACACTATGAGAACAGAGCAAGCTCAAATAAACAACCTAATGCTGAATCTTAAGCTTCTAAAAAAAAGAGCAAGACAAATTATAGAGGAAATTATACAGATCAGAGCAAAAATCAATACAATAGAGACTAAGAGAATGACACACACACACAAAATCAGTGAATCTAAGAGTTGGTTTTTTGAAAGAATGAATAAAATTGATAAGCCCTTAGCCAACCTTATCAAAAAAGGAAAGAAAAGGCTCAAATCCATGCAATTGGAAATGAAAAAGGTGAAGTCTCAACAGATCCAGCAGAAATCCAGAGGATCATCAATACCTACTTTGAGAAACTATACTTTAATAAAATCGAAAACACAGAAGAAATGGACAGATTTCTAAATACATATGAATTACCAAAGATACAAAAAAGATATAAAAATTCTAAATACCCAATTACAATCACTGAAATTGAAAATGTAATTAAAATTTACCAACAAAGTAAGTTCTACTTACTGCCACTACTCTAAACTTTTCAAATTGAAAGGGAAGCAATACTTCCCAATTGATTCTTGGAGCAAGTGTTACTTTGATTCCAAAACCAGAAAAAGACCCAACCAAAAAAGAAAACTGCAGGCCAATCTCCCCAATGAACATAGATACAAAAATCCTCAATAAGATACTGGCAAACAGAATACAGAGGGTCATCAAGAAGATCACACACCCTGACCAAGATGGATTTATTCCAGGGATGCAAGGATGGCTCAACATATGTAAGTCAATAAATGTAATACATTATATTAACAGAGTCAAGGACAAAAACCATATGATCATCTCTATAGATTCAGAAAAAGCATTCAACAAAATTCAATAACCATTCATGATGAAAACCCTACCGAAAATTGGAAAAATGGTCTTCATCTCAACCTGATAAAGGCTATCTCTGAAAAACCAACAGCCAACATCATACTAAATGGTCAAAAACTGAAAACCTCTTGCTAAAATCAGGAACAAGACAAGGATGTCCACTGTCACTACTCCTGTTCAATATAGTTCTAGAAACATTAGCCACCGCAATTAGACAAGAGAAATAAGAGGAATAAAGATAGGAAAGGAAGAAGTTAAACTGTCATTATTTGCTGATGATATGATACTCTATATAGACGACCCAAAAAAAACTCTGCCAAAAGGCTTCTAGACTTAATAGACAGATTCAGTAGAGTAGCTGGCTACAAGGTAAACACTCAAAAATCAATATCTTTCTTTTACACAAATAACAGACTCATCAAGAAATAAGAAAAACAATCCTTTTCACAATAGCATCCAAAAAAATGAAATATGTAGGAATCAATCTAACAAAGGAAGCCAGGCATGGTGGCGCACCCCTGTAATCCCAGCACTCAGGAGGCTGAGGCAGTAGGATTGCTGTGAGTTCGAGACCAGCCTCGGCTACATAGTGAGTTCCAGGTTAGTCTCAACTACATAGTGAGACCCTGTCTCAAAACAAAACAAAACAAACAAACAAAAAACCAAAGGAAGCAAAAGACTTCTACCTTGAGAACTACAACACTGAAAAAAGAGATCAGAGAAGATATAAGAAAATGGAAAGATATCCCTTGCTCCTGGGTAGGAAGAATCAACATAGTGAAAATGACCATACTTCCAAAACTGCTATACAGATTCAATGCAATTCCTATTGAAATCCCAACAGTACATTTCACAGAACTAGAAAAAATAATACAAACATTCATTTGGAACTGGAAGAGACCTAGAATAGCAAAAGCCATTCTAGGCAACAGAGACATGACAGGGGGCATCATAATCCCCAACTTGAAACTATACTACAAAGCCACTATGATAAAAACAGCATGGTACTGGCAAAGAAATAGACCCAAGGATCAGTGGAATATGTTAGAAGATGCACAAACAACTCCAGACATACTCAGCTACCTCATCTTTGACAAAGGAGCCAACATCCTCACTGTTAAAGATAGCCTCTTGAATAAATGGCGTTGGAAAAACTGGATATCAACTTGCCAAAGGTTAAAACTAGACCC